GTCTGGAAAGCCATATTTCTTTTGACTTTTGGTGGTACTGGGGTTTAAACTTGGGCCTCATCCTTGCTAAGCTTTACTACTTGAACCCAACCATGGCATTTTTTTTAAATTTTTTATTGTAAAGATACTATACAGGGGGTTACAGTTACATGAGCAAGGTTATGAGTACACTTCCTATTGAGCATTGTTACCCCCTCCATTGTGTTCCCCCTACCATCCCTTCCCTCCCTACCTTCCCCAGGTTCTTTTTTTTTTTTTTAATTGTGATTAAGTGATTACATAATTTCGCAAATTTCACAGTATTGTGGAATAATGATGCTCACTTAAAGTCACAAGTTCATTCTAACTTTCCTGGAGCAAATTGTCTATCACAGTCTATAACATATAACGGTGTACACATATACACCATACATGTGATCAGCAGCATGGGGTTATTTAGTAGTGGTTCGACCAGATGAGTGGAAGTTCTTTGTTTCTTAAGTCTTGTTAATTTTGTCGTATCACCTAACATTTTGGATTTAGCATCCACTTATCAGGGAGGCCATGTACCGTTTGTCTCTTCGTTCTTGGTTTACCTTGCTCAACATGATTCCTTCTAGCTCCATCCATTTCCCTGCAAATGCCATTATTTTGTCATTTCTTTTTTTTTTTTTTAACTTTCCCATTACTTTATTTTTTTTTTGTTTTTGTTTTTTAAAAATATATTTTTATTGTAAAGATACTGTACAGAGGGGTTACAGTTACATGAGTAAAGTATTGAGTGCATTTCCTATAGAGCATTGTTACCTCCTCCTTTGTTTTTCCCCTGCCATCTCTTCCCTCCTTACCTCTATAACTCCCTCCCTCCCCACCCAGAAGTTGAAAAGTTTGTTTTAAACATAATGTCTTGTACATCTCATTATTACAATGGGTCATCCTGCATCCTTGTTTTAGCATTTTGTTATTTCCCTTCCTCTCCCCAAATTAGAAAAATATATATACAAGATTCAGGACACCAGAATCGAATACAGTGAAAACAGGTGTTATACCATGGGGGAAGAACATACAAAAGAAACAAAAGAAATCATATAGTACATTATAAATACTTTAAAAGCAACAGCAACAAAACCAAAACCTCTTGTTTCCCTATTTTGGGGTTCATTTTGCTTAGCACCATCTTAAATGGTCATATGTGCATAGTTTTTGACCTTTTCTATTTGTCTTTTTTTTTTTTTTATTGTAAAGCTACTATACAGAGGGTTACAGTTACATGAGTGAGGTTATGAGTACACTTCCTCTTGAACATTGTTACCCCCTCCATTGTTTTCCCCCTACAATCCCCTCCCTCCCTCCCTTCCCCGAGGTTCTTTTTTTTTTTTTTTTTGATTGTGATTAAATGATTACATAATTTCAAAGTCACAAGTTCATTCTAACTTCCCTGGAGCAAATTGTCTACCACAGTCTGTAATATATAACAGTGTTCACATGTTATATACCATATTTGTGATCAGCAGCATGAGGATATTTAGTAGTGGTTCAACCAGATGAGTGGGAGTTCTTTGTTTCTTAAGTCCTGTTAGTTTTGTCGTATCACCTAACCTTTTGGATTTAGCATCCACTTATCAGGGAGACCATGTACCGTTTGTCTCTTCGTTCTTGGCTTACCTCGCTCAACATGATTCCTTCTAGCTCCATCCATTTCCCTGCAAATGCCATTATTTTGTCATTTCTAATGGCTGCATAATATTCCATTGTGTATAGATACCACAATTTTTGGATCCATTCATCTGTGGTGGGGCATCTGCAACCATGGCATTTTTAAAATTCATTTTTCCATATGAAATCCTTCTTCTCCTGGGTACTTGGAAGATTGACTGCTAGAGAAAAATATACTCACCTGGATAGCATTGTCTTCAAATTAAGCCAGATGCCTCTCCTTTTTTCCAGTCTCTGAGATGCAGATAGAAGATGGATGCTTTATGCTGCATATGTATTTCAAAGGTCATGCAGGTGCCTGGATCACCTCTCAGATTCTGTCTCCATCAGGATTCTGTTGGAAATTGGAGTATTTGTGTTGGGGGGCTAGAGGGAGGAAGGTTTAACATGATCTTGGTAGAAAATTGCCAATGGACAAGTGCTTTGAGTTTATACAGTGCAAACAGTTCCTACTTCATGCTGCACTAAGAAGGGAATAAACTACATATAGGGCACTTATAAATAGATCAGCATTCATTAAATAATTGTATGTGGAATACAAATTAAGAAGATATCTTGTACTGATATCAAGAGCATCTTGATGCATGTAACTTACAGAAGTATTTGTAAATACCCAGTGTGGGATGGGTATTTTGGACATAGAGATAAAAGATAAAACTCTGCAAGGAAAATGGAAATTTATAAGCAGTATGATTATTGGAAATCTATCCCATTTATGACTAATAAAAGTAAAATTTAAAGTATAGTGGATGAATATAAAGCTTTAATAAGATATATGGATAGGGGCTGGGAAGGTGGCTCAGTGGTAGAGTGCTTGCCTTGCATGCCTGAGGCCCTGGGTTCGATTCCTCAGCACCACATAAGCAAAAAGAAAAAAGCCGGAAGTGGCGCTGTGGTTCAAGTGGTAGAGCACTAGCCTTGAGCTGAAGAGCTGAGGGACAGTGCCCAGGCCCAGAGTTCAGGCCCCACGACTGGACCAAAAAAAAAAAAAAAAAAAAAGATATATGGATATACTTTGTGAATTTCATGGTAATAAACTGAAGATTAGGAAAACATTGAATAAAACAACTTTCAAAACCATCTCTCTTTTTTTTGTAGTACTGGAATTTGAACCCAAGGCCTCACATTTGCTTAGTTTGGCTTGCTTTGCTGGCCCTCTACTACTTGGACCATGCCTCCAGTTCTGCTTTTTTGCTAGAGATGGAGACTCTGCCTAAACTGGCCCCAAAACACCATCCTCTTGATCTCTGCCTCTCAAGTAGCTAGGATTATAGGCATGAGCCACTGGCATGTCCAAGTCTGTCTTTCTGTCAATCTATCTACTTATCATGTATCTCTCCCTATATGCATGTATATATACGTATATGTGTATGTGCCTCTGTGTGTCTGTGCATATATATATATATATATATATATATATATATATATATATATATATATAATGGGGGGGTGATGCTAGGGATTGGGCCCAGGATGTTACAAATTCTAGGCAAACACTATTATCTGAGCTACTACTGCAGCCTAGGAACTTACTGTTGTTGTGCGTTTTTTTAGTGATAAACACCAAATTCAGACTAGTGAGTAAAATAATCACAGAAAAGGGACTGTGGACTTGGAAAGGTGCACAGTGTTTCAGAAAATTCTGTTTTGGGAAATATGATACAACTGTTTTTTTTTTTTTTACTGTAGGGGTAAAGTGAAGGATTGTATACTTGCTTTCACATTAGCATCGGAAGGCTCTTTGGATGTTCAGGCAATTCCAAAGACTGACTATATTCCCTACTTGTTTCTCATGGCCTCTGGATTCTAAGGAGGAATGACCTTACTAAAATGTTGCTATGGGGGCTGGGAAGGTGGCTCAGTGGTAGAGCACTTGCCTTGCATGCCTGAGGCCCTGAGTTTGATTCCTCAGCTACCACCTAAGCAAAAAAAAGCCAGAAGTGGCGCTGTGGCTCAAGTGGTAGAGGGCTAGCCTTGAGCTGAAGAGCTGAGGGAAAGCACCCAGGCCCAGAGTTCAAGTCCCATGACTGGACCCCCCTAAAATGTTGCTATGGCAATAGTATTTTGGTCCTGATTCCTCAGTCTGGGCTACAGGTTATATTGGTGAGAAACTGCCTGTAGGAAGGGTGGAACATAGCAGTTACTGCATCTAGATCTGCTGTTCTCAGCTTCCTGGACTTTTTTTTTTTTTTTTTTGGCCAATCACGGGGCCTGAACTCTGGGCCTGGGCGCTGTCCCTCAGCTCTTCAGCTCAAGGCTAGCACTCTACCACTTGAGCCACAGTGCCACTTCCGGCTTTTTCCACTTATGTGGTGCTGAGGAATCGAACCCAGGGCCTCATGCATGCAAGGCAAGCACTCTACCACTGAGCCACCTTCCCAGCCCATCTTCCTGGACTTTTCCCTTCATTGGCACCCTGTAGATCTCTACTGTATCATCATCTGATTTGGAAATCATTACACTCCTACCTGTATTATTAGACTGCTGATTCTTCAAGTATACATTCTTTGATGCTTAATAATGTTTTTGCAATGAATGCAAGAGGGTTCTCCCTTCTAGGATATGCACTAAATTTAGTAAAAAATGTACATCTTTATATGTAAACTATATAGCCAAATGGTACCTTTTTACTATGACTAATGGATGCATTACGTGTTAGAAAAATGTTTTTCCAACTTTAGTGTATCTTAGAATCACCTCAGTAGGACTTAACAGAACGTAGAGTGTGTCCATTTTAACTAAATCTGTTTTAACTAAAACAGATTTTTAGGCCCTGTCATAGTATCTGATTGAGTGGGTCTGGGTAGGAAGCACCGTCATTTACACTTTTTTTTTTCTCCTTCCTTCCCTTCTTCCATTCTCTTTCTGATCTTATGAGACTGCATCTTGTTATATAACCCAGGCTAGACTCAAACTGTCACCCTGGCTGAGATTTACATTTCTAACAAGTTTCTTGGAGAGGGCTGGAAATGTGGCTTAGTAGAGTGCTTGCTTAGCATTCATGAAGCCCTGGGTTTGATTCCTCAGTACCACATAAACAGAAAAAGATGGAAGTGGTGCTGTGGCTCAAGTGGTGGAGTGCTAACCTTGAGCAAAAAGAAGCTCAGGGACAGTGCCCAGACCCTGAGTTCAAGCCCCAGACCTGGCAAAAACAACAACAACAACAACAACAAAAAGTTTCCAGGAAATGTTGATGCTGCTCATTCAGAGACCATAAATTGAAAATCACTTCATTAGAAAACTTCTGGGAAAAAATAGAGAAATACATAATGAAAATAATAAAAGTGCATATCCCTTTCTTTCAGGTGTCATTTCAGGAGTGCTTCTTAAAGAAATAAAAACAGAAAGATAAAGGAAGCTGGGTATGAAGGAGCCTTCCGGTAATCCCAGCTACTCTGGAAGTGGAGACAGGAGGATCATGGTCTGAGGCCAGCCTGGACAAAGTTAGCAGGAGACTGAAAAACAAAGTAAAAGCAAAAGGAATGGGGATATGCTCAAGTGGTAGATCTAGAGCCCTAAATTCAATCCCTGATATTGCACCAAATAAAATTTTAATATGAAATAAAGACTAAATAAAAGCTATTTAATTTTAGCACAAATTTGGTACTGTACCCTATTACAAATGGGATGCTAACCACCTTCAAGGTCCTATCTAAAATGACGGTAACAATCTAGAAGTATCTCACAGGGTTATAGTAAAGTGTTCAGAACGGTGACTTGCTAATACTTGTTATATTTTTAGTTAAGGTATTTCAATACTAACCAGACAAAAAAGAGTGAAATCTGAGTAGAACTTATCAATTAAGGAGTCATTTAGTCAGCAAGAGAAAGAAAAGGCACTAAATAGATTATTCCTCACTTGAGAAACTGCAGTTGCATCTGAGAAACTAAAATGTATTTAGATTTTATGTTTTAGAGTTTAGTTGTTGAGGGGCTAGAGGTCTGGCTCAAGTACTTCGTATAAGAGTACTTGCCTAGCAAGTATAGGCCTTGAATTCAAGTCCCTGTACTGCCAAGCAAGTATGTATATAAATGTAAAAATTAGTTTAATCGTTGATAAACACTTATTTTCATTGAAAATAAATTTGAGGGAAGGTTGGTTGCAAATATATTTGAGCCAAAATACATATAAAACAAAACAAAAATCACATTTTTGAAATTGCATCTCTCAGACTTTCACTCCCCCCCAATGGAAACATTTTTTATTAATACCCTTTGAAACATCTATAGTGTAAAGTGAGTTTAAAAAAACAAACTCAGGGCTGGGAAGGTGGCTCAGTGGTAGAGTGCTTGCCTTGCAAGCATGAGGCCCTGGGTTCGATTCCTTAGCACCACATAAACAGAAAAAGCCGGAAGTAGTGCTGTGGCTCCAGTGGTAGAGCACTAGCCTTGAGCTGAAGAGCTGAGGGACAGCGCCCAGACCCAGAGTTCAGGCCCCATGACCGGCAAAAAAACAAAAAACTCAAATTCAGCTTCTATTATATTCTCACCCCACAGCAGTCAGTATTGGAAAACTATTGTGATGGAAAGTGTGTTGGCTTCCTCCACACTCCAGTCAGTTCTGCAGTGACCCCAGCTAGGTATCATCCATGCAATAGTTTATAGGCTTATTCCTAAAGATTGTCTCTGATGTACTTCAGGTGCCAATTGCAAGCTCTTAAATTGGTTAACCTGTGCTTCTGACTGACCCTCTGTAAGTCTGTTCCCACAACACCTACCATGAGTTCAGTTCATATGTTGTAGTCCTCACTGAATCAGGGATATGCAGTTTATTAACAGAGGATAAAGATGAAAAGATACACAGGACAAGGCATGCAGGAAGGGAGAGGAACTCTCGTGCTCTCTGTGAGGTGCCACTCTCTAGGAACTTCTACATATTCAGCTATCTGGAAGCTTTCCCAAGACTGTCCTTTTGGGCTTTTATGAAGACTTCATTCTGTAGGAATGATTGATTATTATCACTTTCAGCCCTTCTCCTCCCTGGGGATTAATGGTTAAGGTTGATAGTGTGTGTGTGTGTGTGTGTGTGTGTGTGTGTGATGCACACATGTGTGTGTGCATGAATGTGCATGTGTGCTGTTACTGGGCCTTGAACTTAGAGCTTCTTGCTCTCAACTTTTTCACTCACAGCTGGTGCTCTTCCACTGAGCTACACCAGTCCAGCATTTTGATGGTAAATTGGAGATAAGAGTCTCAGACTTTTCTCTCCAGATTGACTTTGAACCATATTCTCAGGTCTCAGCCTTCTGAGTAGGTAGGATTACAGGCATAATCTATATTTTCTAGTAACTGGCATTCTGAAGCCATCTAGGGTGTGCCAGCAATCCGCCAACTCATTGAAGACACTTATTTTGATGAGTTCAAGAATTTTGGGAAATAATTATAAATGCTGTATTTCTGGAAATCAATTTGTTTTCCCTTTTTTGCCAAGTGGATGGGAATATGGAGGTTGAAATGCAGGAGAGAAGTCCTTGGAAGAAAACAAGTTTCTATTTTTTTCTCCCTCCCTGCTCAATTAGTACATTTTTATTTTGGTTTTATTTGAAAAATCAGGATTGCAGTTATATGTAGATTTGGTTCCCATTTACTGCTCCTTCCTAAAAGAGGACAGTAGGAACAGGAAACATTGTGAGTTTGAACAAGGAAGGACAATCACAAGTCCTTTAATTTAGTCCTGTAATTAATGACATCATGTTTGTCAAGAACAAAATCATAACAATTTAAAGATCTTATTAGGCTTTATTTTCTATTCCAAAATGTTACAACACTTCGTTCCCTCAAACAGACTAAGTGTCCTGATGAGCTGAGCAGAAGAGGTGGATTTTCTAGACAGAAAAGGGCTGAAGAAAACAGAAATGGAAGCAGTTTGGTCATTTCTAAGTTACTTTCCTTATATGGTAGGACTGGAGACAGAGCAATAGGAAAATAGCTAGTTAATATCAAGTTACTTCAGCTCACCTTTTTATTTTGGTAGGGATTAAAGTAGAGGAAGCTTTAAAAATCTTGCCAACTGAAACTGGCCTCTTTGGGAAATTTGGCTCTTATCTCTATATCCTGATTTCTCAGAAGGTCAAAGAAAGTCTAGTTTCAATTTGATGAAGTGGAACTTTACTATGGCTGAGTCCATTTTGATTTTTCATCTAGTGTGTGGGCCCAATATGGGAGCTTAACTCTAAACAACAGCCTTCTGTATTTTTTACTTAATATACTGAATTAAAATTTCTAGCCATTATAAAATGCATAGAGATGCTCTAGGAAAGGATATTTTAAAAAGTGGTGCATCTCCCTCTGCTGAACTTTCCCTCATTACTTTTCCCTTACTCTTGTACGTCCTTCATCTCAACTTCTGAAACACCAGTAAATTCTGTAGAAACTCAGATTGTGAAACATTACCTTTGTTGGCTCCCCCCCAACCCCCACCGTGAAAACAACTTTTTAGAGAAAACAGCTGACTGAGCTAAAATTCCAGGGCAATACTTACTGTACTTTCACCTTCTGAAAATGGGGAAGAGGTGTCCTTGGTGAAACTGGAGGCGGGCCTAGATGGAGGTTCTCTCTCTCCTCTCTCCCTCCATCATTTCTTCCCTCTCTCCCTCCCCCTCCTCCCCTTACTGCTCTCTCTCCCTCCCCTCCCCTCTCCTTTCTCCTCTCGCTCCTCTCTCTGTAGTGTGTGTGCCAACTTCGGCTGGCAGGCTTGGTTTCCTAATCAGCTCATACTGGAAAGGACAGTTTCCTGTGAGCCTTAAAACAGTGAATGTGAAATCTCTCCCGGGAAAGCACGTGTTCTGCACATTCTTGAAAGAAAGCAGAAACCCCCCTTACATTAAGATTTTAGGTAGACTAAGGCAAGAGGAACCAAATGTGGACTCATTCTCACTTCTGATGATATATTCTATGTCTCTAAGACTTGAAAATTGGACTGTCTGGTGTTCTGAAACTTTGTCTTCTGTGCATAATTTGGCCCTACAAATACGTACCGTCAAGTATATTTAAAATTTTTTATTAGCATCAATGACTTTTACAATGGTGTTCTGTTGTGATAGTTTTATATATATATATATATATATAATGTATATATATATATATATATATATACACATATATATGTACTTGGATCAAATTCACCCTAGAGATATATATTACTCTTTTAAGCCCTATTTTCCTCCCCTCTCTGTAGTTTAATGGGTTTCATTAAGCTGTTTTCATACATATACAGTATAATGTATTTCTATCATTCAGTACCCTCTCCTTCCCCACTTCTTCCTCCATCTGGTTCCTCCCCTCCGAAAGAAGCCCCCCCCCATAAAGGGGGCATGATATCATTATATGGTGTTAATTATATTTAACTGATTTTTTAAAAATGCTTAAGGGAATGAAAAAGCCTTTCATTTTGCTTCATTTTTGGACTTGTTTTCTGACATCCAAGTTCCAGGTGCAGAGACAGATCACATTTGGCATACCATTGCCATGTATCATGTGAAAGTAGTTTCTATTTGAAAGTTCCAATAGATACTCCTGAACTGACAGGGGAATTCCAGCGAGGCCATTGAACCATTACAACTTGAAAGGAAAAACAAGGGACCAATGCCTTTGTGTAAACATTAACTTATCTGCCTTTTAACTGCCTCTTTTTGTTTGATTTGTTTTACTACTAAAGGGAGAGCTGGAACTGAATATCTTTTGTATTTTACATAGAAATTATAAATTTAATTTGGAAGTCTATACCTTTGTAGCATGGACGTGATCTTCTTTGGATTGCCAAAATGATCAATGTTTAGAAAAATAGCTTCCGGGCGGGGAAGGTGGCTCAGTGGTGGAGCACTTGCCTTGAATGCTTGAGGCCCTGGGTTCGATTCCTCAGCACCACATAAGCAGAAAAAAAAAGCCGGAAGTGGCGCTGTGGCTCAAGTGGTAGAGCACTAGCCTTGAGCTGAAGAGCTGAGGGACAGCACCCAGGCCCAGAGTTCAGGCCCACGACCGGCCCCCCACAAAAAAAAAAAGAAACAGAAAAAGAAAAATAGCTTCCCACTGTCTAGCCCATAAGATACAGAGACAATATTGGCAGGAATTCTTAAAATGTTTTCTTTGATAGTTAAACTGTACCCAGTTCTTGCTCTTACAGCTTTACAATCCTACCCTTAAAGGACATCAATAGACCAGCATTTAAGTAAGCAAATACACAATTTATTTGTGTATACAAAGCTGTAAATATATAATGAATTAAGGGACTGACTTTCATTCTGGAAATGTCTTTTTTGTGGTCTAAACACAGTGAAATGAGTCCTTAAATCTATTATTTAACGTTAGAATTTATACATCTGGCATCTCTTAAACTTTACATCATTTTAAAATTAAAT